GTTCTTTTTTGATCAAGTGCATTGATCAAGTTTGAAACTGTCAATTTTGTCATCAGAGTATTATGACTAATCCAAATATAATAGTGTTTTCCTCAGCAAAATTGCATACAATTTGCATAACAATAAAATATGTTAATGACTTGCATCATACCCATTGTTATGCTAAACTGGCTCTATTGTTTATCTAGTTGAGAACCCCTACTCCATAATGCCCTGGGGAGAACCCTGTATAATGCAGACTTCATTCACAAGGGACATGAGCTGAATTTATAAAAAGATTGAGAATATTGTACACAATAGAATTGCTGAAGCCGGCCAGAGTTAACCAGCACACAGTTATTTTCACAGACAATGTGTGCACAGTGTGAGCTTTGAAAATCCAGACATAACATGTTAACATGCACCAGTTATACAACAAGTAAATCATTATTTTCTTAGCTACAAAATTAACTTAATGGTGTTCAAGGAGACATTTGGTCTACAAAACCGAAGTCAAATTCTCACTACTACAAATAAATAAAATAAATTGACAACCATACCAATAGACAGACGCAATTGTTCTGTGCGTGTGCAGTGACTGATTGGCAAGAACCAGTCGTTTGCACTCAAGATAAAATAAGAGCATTGTTTGTTGCTGCTGCTGCTGCTGCATGGGTTCTATTAATAAAACAACTTATGGGGAATTTTATTGCAGCAAAAAACATTATCACGCTGGTTTGCAAAATGTAGACAATGACCATCTGAGAACATAACTGCTATATGTAGATTTTGTCCAAATATGGTAAATTATTTATATATATTTCAACTGGTTTTCTCAGTTATTTAATAGATAATGTACTGTAAACACGATTTCAGAATTTCATAGCTTTTACTGACATTCATTATTGTAGAACCCCAGATAAATTGTCATATTCTCAGCAACAATAAACATGTAACGTTGTTCAATAGTAAAATCTAAAGGTCAGAGAAAAGAAAGAAAAGAGAAACAAAACAGGAAAATACAAATTTTCATGTAACTGATCATGTGACAATGCAGTTTTTTGATACTGAATTACTTTGCAATTTCATCATTGCCTTCAAGCAGTCTTGATTGACCTATCTTGACTTCTGTGTTTTTCTCATTAATTTTAGCCTAGTGCATTGTCAAGTCTATTTCCTTTCAATTTTTGAAGGCAAAACAAAACAAAGCTCCACACTTCTATTCCATCAGCTGGCAAGTGTCAGTGACGTTTGTTTTGTTCAATGTGTTAATTAATTATCACCAGAAATATAGCAAATGTGCATAACAGGTTAGTGTCTACAGAATTATGATCAGCCTGGAAGAGTTTTAGAGTAGCAGTCCTGCTACCCTAATACGCTTTGGGGAGAACATTGGAAAATGGTAGTAGATAATTATGGTCCTTGGTAATTATACAATACAACCATGGACCACGACTAACTAATTTTATTTTCCCAAATCTGTTGACCCCAGCAGCTTTCTCAAAATTGTCCGATTTATTTTTTCTGTAAACAGTGCGTGGGATAATTTTTTTTTTTTTTTGATGTGTGCACATTTTGGTTCAAAATCTGTCTATAAAATAGTTTTAGTACTAGTCAACAGTTTGTTATTAACTATCTGTTTAGGCATGAAAATGAACATAACAGGAGAAACAACGGTAATAGCATTCTTAATAGTATAGGTAATAGGTAATAGCACACTAAAAACACTACTATACAAATTTGATGAAACTGACAAAACATGCTACAGTGCATTTTCACTCCATTTTGTACAGTGGTAGTTTTGCACATTTTTCCAAGTGAAAACAAACCTGGGGTTTGGCAGATAAATGTAATTCGCTGTGCATAAAAGGTTAAACAAAACACAGATTTCACAACATAGCAAAAAGCCTAAAGGTTTTTCCACTTTGAAAGAAAACAAAATATACAGTCTATCCATGCTAGTGAATTTTCTCATGGCGTAAAATGTCAAATATATTAGAGAAAGAATGCTTACTTGGTAATGCTGTAATAAAATCCCGTTGTAACATAGGTTTCAAAAAAGAATTGATATGTCCGTGCTGGTAGTGGCACATGCGTGAAATTAACTGTTCTACAAATTCAATTTGTTCATTTTCTTTCCACTGATCAAAATATCTCACACAATTTTCCCTTTCTTTTTCATAATTCGGTGACGGTTCCTTGTTGCTCCTGATGCTCTTTATTGTCGTCTGCGTTGTCTGTAACAAAAATCATCAAGATTATTAGCAGAGGAAAAATAGAGGCAGCATGAATTACGAAATGAGAATGAATAATTTGCATTTAGAAAATCCGACATCCAGGCAAAAACGAGACAGAATCACACAAGATTCAGTGAGAGACAAGATAATGGATGCTTTGCAGGAAAATAAATCAAACGAACAAAGCCTGAATCAGGAAAAGAGGGTGGACTCTTCTAAATTAGAAAAGAAAGCTGAAAAAAGCACATTCAGCAGACCCTGACTCTATGGTACTCAATTATTTACATCTATTATATGTAATGTAGGATATTTAATACCATTTGAAGCAACCTAATTCAGTATGATAGAAGGTACTCTGAGATTAATACTACTGCAGCAGCATACAGTATAAAATTCAGACTTTTATGCATGTTGATATTAATTCACCCTCGACTATTAAACTGCTATCCTTCTAAACAAGGCTATAAATCACATTATCGAATACAAATTAAAATTAAATGCATTGTCATCTATTTTATGACAAAAATTTTTCAAGGCAAACCACATAATGTGTACTAGTATTTATCAGCAAAACAAACAATATATTGTTATGGTGTTATTATAACATATTTAATTTAACAAAATTTATCATGTTATGCATTTTCAGAAACTTGTATTTTGAACGACTAAAGAGAAAATGATGTAAAATTTTTAGTTAAAGGCCGAATAGGTCTAATTAGAACTGTTGAGCCATTAGCAAACTTGCTAATTCAAATATTTCATTTTTAGTTAGTTGGCTTATGCACTGCTATAAACACTACCCCCTCCCTATGACAACCTTCTTGAGTAAAGCTATCTCATAGTTAAATTTAACATGTTTACTTATTTAAGATATTAATAGCTTTAGTCAAATATCTATGTAACAAAGTCCATGTATACAAAAGTCTGAAGACCAATTCCTAGAAACGCGCAGTAAATTGAAATTTAATTTTGGACTTCAGACTTCAAGCAATTATTTAACCACCTTAGAATGGTAATAAATACATTCACATATTGTGCTCAGATAAAGTCAAGAACAATTGCATCAGAGCCTCTGATGCAGAATAACCTAAATCGGCTATTCAATTTTCCTCTATAATCAACAGTGGGGAGAGTCACCTGCATATAACTGAAAACAGTAATTGCATTGTGTGAAACTTCTACAATATGGCTTCTACAAGAACAATTATCACTTCATTCAAAACTGTTTATGACTACGGTACATAATTCTAGCAGTGAGTGGCAGAGAGGTGAAGACCCACACATCGACTGCACTGATCATAAACGACGTGTATTGATCATTTCCTATACAGTTTTCTTGCTTATATGCAAAATACAATGCAATACGCCCTTTCCTTTGTGAAAAGAGACATCTTATGGAAAACAGAGGGCTGTGGCTTCGCAGTTGCACAATAAAAAATAACTGCCAAGAGGCTCTGTAAATTTTTCTAGTAGGTAGGGTCAGGAAAAGTAGGAGAAAATTAGACATACAAGTATATTATTCAGGAAAAGTAAGCAGACAGTCAATGCCAACAAACTAGTATTTTACAGACTGCTGTCACTGATGAAACCCTTCAAATACCTGGCTAATAAAAATTTACAAAGTAGTAAACTATTAAACTTTAATTTTATCAGTCTATTAACACTGACTTCAAAATTAAAAAAATACTTGTAAATATTAACGGAAATGTAAAGATTGAATTCATCATAATTTTTGAACAGATTGAATGCCATTATTCCTCTGAGAAAAAACATGCATGTATAAGGGTATACATGTACATAGGCAGGGAGAGAAAGTGTATTACATACTTCAGGTGAAAATAATGACCAATATTGATAATAAAGACAAGACCATCAACAACCTTGCAAGAAACTACTGTAAAACACGTCTTTTACGCTTATTTAGCAAGAGAACTGATTCGCTATTAAATTCAAGATGTCGCTAATGACTTTATTATAAATTCAAATAGGACGCCAAACTAAGAAATTAACGATGACAAGAGATTTTCTAAATCAACATTTCGCTATTATGTCATTTTACCACAATTCGCTAAAATTGCATACTGCTTTTTCAACATGTTTTACAGTATCACTTTCAGATGATATTACAAGGCCAGAGTTGAGAGGGCATAAGGGAAGCTTTTAGCTATTATTCTCTATGGAGTTCAAACCCTGCTATTAATCAAATTTGACAAGTTTTTTTTCTATGTTTCACATATTTTCTGGTTGAAATTTCCTTCAATGACATCTTTAATTGTTCACTAATAATTCACAACCACGTAAAAAATATTATTTTCTTAGCCAATTTTCATCTTCTCAATTATAAAAACAGTTAATATTATTAAAGATTCATGACTATATTTCAGATTCATGACAATTGAAATTAAAATAACAGACATAGTACATGTTTTCCTGATGTTAATTAATTTACTGTTTTATGGATGGTGGTGATAAGTACCATTGATACTTTGTTGTAGTCTAATAGTAACAGGCAAAAGGTTAGTAGAGGCTGGAAATGAATAACAATAATTCACACGCTTCGGTAGTTCTTGTACCCCAGTAGGTTTCAGCAATAAAAATCACCAATCAATATTAACTGTTATTTGTGCACCTTTTTGTACAATTGACTTTCATGACTTAATGATCTTAATTTTTGAAAAAAATCAAAGAATGACTTGGTCTTGAGAATGTTAAAAAATGACTTTGTTTGAGAGGGTTAAAGATCAAAGACTAAAAAAACATGAATTAGTGTAATAATAACAAATTCCATTTATTTCAATCATTGAAAGGAAATTGCATCCGAGGTCAAACCAAGGAATCAATATCCTTGACTACTTAAGTTGATGTCAGGGTTAAAAGTAAACAGTTGATAAACAATCAACACTGAGATTCTATATATATATAACTGCTTAAACCTTCAAATATGCCAAAATAATTTATTGTTATTTCCTTCCAAGCATGGGCAGTGATATGAATTAGAGGCATAAACAGGAAGTGGCCAATATTGTAAGCCCTAAAACTTTCCAAGAAATAGTAAAATCTAAACAGTTCATTGTTGTTGAAGTTACCAATAAAACACCATTGAATAAAAAAAATAGTGTAATTTCTGAACAAGAGAAGAATCAGAGTGAGCATTGTTTCATAATAGTTGAAGGTGGAAATTTTGTAAACAAACTTTACTAATAAGTTTAAGAAAATCATATTTCAAATTCACAAATACTTGTTTTAAAGAACACTTGTAATATAGAAACGAGTCTTGGGAGGGGTTGGTCTAATATAACATTTGAAAACTTGGCCAATACCTTTCCTATGCATGCATGGCCGTAAATCGGCCAATGAATGAAAGAAACCACACATACTTGCAGGTAACGGGAGTTACAAAATGAATTATTTGGATTTGGATGAAGTAATAGGATCAATCAGAATGAATGTTTGTTAAATATTTATAAATATCATAAAACAAAATCACTCCTTCATGAAACCCGGTGTATTTTTGTGACCGATGAATGGTAAAAGCAGTTTAGATAAATTTACAAATTGTGGATACTAGTAACCCTCAGATACTAAATATAGTGGTAATGAGTGTGCTTCTGAGGACATTTTCACGAATCATTGTCGGACATGGATTCCCTGTGATCTTACATTAGTAACACACACTAATTAGTAACTAAGAAGTGATCACACAGTAAAAATGGTGATCTGAAATTTAAGTAAATTGCACCGTAGTAATTGTGTTTTGATAAAAAAATAAAATAATGAAGCCTACATTCGAAATGCCAGAAAAATTCTCAATGACAAAATTTTCATTTTATTTTTGCCCAGAGATACAAAGTTCTGTCGAAGAGCACACTTGTGGTGTCGCTGACTTTGAATTATATTTCCAAGATCATCTTCACTGATTGAACCTGTAGCTTGGACTAGAATCATGCCAAACAAACAATAACAAGTCAACTGAGTTACATAACATGCAGGCTTTATTTGTTCATGCAACAATTGATAGGTACTAGTATATAACATGAATAACACCATAAAAAATAACTTTTTTGCCAACAAGTATGACATTTAAAATATTATTACATAATACAATAACAGCATTCATGCCAATTATTCAAACTCTTTTTGACGAGTCAATAACTGGGAATTCCTCGTTATTTCTAGTGAACACGTAATAATGATGGGAGAGTTTACGTCACTGTTTTGGGTAAATTACTTACGCACAACTAGTTTTGAAACAACGAGTTTCCCACAAAGTTTGAGACGAATATCAACTTTGAGAAAAAGATTTTTCCATTTTCAAGAATGTAGCTTGCAGATACAAGGAAAAATGCTCTCAATTTACAGTGTTACATCTAAAAAATGGAAGTTGTTTCAGAGCCCAACCTTAAAGGAAACATGACGTTTGTACCATCACAAACAAATCTCACCGGTCGTAAAGATTCAACAAGCATTTAGTTCACGCAAAAAATACAAACTCTTTTCGCTTTGAAGTTAAACTGGAAAACACCGATAAAACATTAACTCAGATAAAAAGAATCAACAAAACTCCTCCCTGTTCAATGTTTTTATATATCAGAAAAACCATCATGGCGGTCCATTTCCAATCTCGCGATTTTTTTCAAACGCAATATTCGTTACATTTGGATGAACATAACTGCTCTCTGTAGAAACTTACCATTCCCTCCGGTATATTTTCATCTGTGATAGTTGTTAGGGACATCATATCTTCATAAAAAAGTGGGTTCTTGATGTGATTTTAACAGCAAATAACGACTACAAAAATACTTGACCTCCGATAGAGGCACAAAATGGAACGGTGATGACGTCACTGACACAAGTGTCGGTCTCTTGAATCACGAGAGTTTTGACGAGATTTGAGAAGAATTCTTGGAAAATAAAGATATTGTCTGCGCTCACGACACGCCCTTCAGTGTTAATAATCAGTGTTCTATTCCATTGAAAGATGAAATCATATTGCAATAGTTTTGTTATGAAAACGTATCCAATGCGACAGGAAACCCAACCCGGAAATGATTATTCATAATAAGTCACATCATCAGAGTTGAAAGGTCAAAACATGGCGTTCGATGGACTCAGTTCATTGGTAAGTCCTGACGGGGTCCTAACTTACTGTAAAAAGAAATTTTGTTTTAGTTTGTTATTGTCGTTCGGAATTTGTTGATTTTGATATATCATATATAATTCTTATGTTATAATATGTCTGTTCCTTGCACGTGGTTTGCTCCCTCCATGATTACACGTAATCACAGTCCCTCTAACACTGATAGAGGGACTGTGATGTAATGTGTTTTTAATTTTAGGGTAACCCGGTTAAAATCTGGGGGGCGGAGAATTAAAAAAAAACATAAGTTTGATGTGGGCTGACATCAAGAAAAAAAATCCACAGGCTAAATAGTAAGAAAATTGTTCAAAAAAAAAAAACCCTCTAAGGTTCTTATTGAAACATTCAGACATGCTTTCTGGAGAAAAAAAACCCTGCCACAGTAGTGTGAAAAGAAAAGTATGAAATTAACCATTTTCCTCCAGCTCCCTCCCCAGATATAAAATGAGTCTCCCCAGTCTTTGTGTGTGTGTGTGGAGGGGACAACTTTGAAAATACCTTTCAATCATTATAATTATATTTATGTTTATTAATGTTCATGGATATTTTAATTTGTAAATAAAAAAATTAATTTTCAAAAATTACTGTTAATTGCATCATACAAAGACAGACAAAATACCTATTTGGTACTCTCCTTGTTAGGCCTGTATTTTCAGACTAACAAATCAGTGAACCATCAATCTATGTAAGAGATTCCACATTACTAGAGTTGTTAGCTTACCATCGCTGAGGGCAGTAGTCCTAAGGCGATTCTAAAGCCAGAAACTTCCAGGGGAAGGAAAGGTTCTCTGTCTTAAACAACATGCTCATACACAGAAAAGAATGGACAAATCATTTGATATTTATCCCATCTTATTTAGAACATACCAAATCGTGAATTACACATTACGAGTAGGATCTGGAACCACCTACTTTTTGTTTGAATAATCAATACAGCGCCACTATATATTCTCTGGGTTCAAACGCATGCGCACATGGACGCAAAGCTTAAACAAGTATTCACCTTTGACTAAATGTTAGATGACAAACTATAACGACAAGGTTAATTAAATAAATTAATTAAGTACACTTCCAGTAATTAACCTCGAAAATAGATCCACTAATTTGTTTCAATAACATATACAATGACATTTATATTTAAAATATTCAATTATTATTATTGGTGTGTATGAATGTAGAAAGTGATTCTTAAAGCTCTATACAGTCGATCTACCACATTCGGTTTGACATGAGACCCATAACGATGTATACAATGTGTGTAAAATACGCAAAATTTGAACACTCGTAGTATTTCGACTATCACTTCAAATGTTGTGTCATGAATAATAAATTTGTTGCTCATTAGATTATGTGATTATTTTATTTCTTGACAGGGGGCCCAGGGGGCTATGTCAGCTGCCTCTGCATTGTCTCAACCTGCTGAAAACTATACAAATGATGTAAGTAGCTCATTTTGTGTTGTCCCCTGCTTTGACATATTAAATAGGTTATTGTGAATTACATTAGATTACAGAAGTTGCACTATTGATACACTAATAATTTTATCATTATTAAACTTTTAGTTTAACAAACATTCATAATTAATATTTATACCTTTATTACACTTTTTAACCAAACTAGAAATATATTGTTTCTTTATGGCAGTAATAAAATAATTATATTTTCTTATCTTATCTTATTATTCAATTTTTTATTTTATTTTTTATATTGACAACGCTCCAAATCAATAATTTGCATGTTATTGTGTTGATATTTTGGTGATTATTGTAAAGGCATTAATTATTCACTAATTTTTAATATGCTATTTTCACTGATGAGTAAAATCTGCTAAATTAAATCGATGTGTGCTTGTGAAATAACATGGTTTCCTGGCCAAGTTTGTCATGGAGAGGTTACACAAGTTTTTTTTCTCTTCTCATGTCTGAATACTGGCCTTTTTCAATTGGAAGCCAGACAGAAACTTTGAAACTTTATCAAACCTGTTTATCTTGATTTTAATTTTATCTAAATAGAACTCACATTGAAGTGTTCTCTCTGAAGAATTTATTTTATTTATTGCAGTCTCTTTTTGCCATTTATCCAGTTGTTATTTTTTCTATTTTTCTCGAAATTTATGATTATTTTTGATAAAGCCTTCATGCAAATGCTTGTGACGTTTGCCTCAGTTTCCCCATTCTCCCTGGTGTCTATGATCCAAGATCTATTGTATAACTCCACACTTTACTTTCAGAGTGGTTTGGAACTACAGTGGGCAATGAAAGCCTACCATCATGCAGAAACTTATTTCAATGTAAGTAATACTTAGTCATTTATTTTATCAATCATATTTTCTCAAATGTTATATGAACTAGATTTAATCATCGGCGTGGGCTAAGCCAGTTTGTCTGGTATCATCAGATCTAGGTGAATTAATAACGGGTTTAATTCAAAAATATTGTTCATGACTTCAATTCTTTTTCTCGCATATAGCCTTGTGTAGTAATAATCAACCTATTCATAAAATATCATGAATTAATTGGGACTTTTGTAACACTGCATTGATCACCTTCAATGTGATGTACACATATGTGCTTGAAGTTGAAATTGATTTCTCGTCCAAGTCGTGTTTCTGTAACTCTGCATTGATCACCTTCAATGTGATGTACACATATGTGCTTGGAGTTGAAATTGATTCCTGGTCCAAGTAGTGTTTCTGTAACTCTGCATTGATCACCTTCAATGTGATGTACACATATGTGCTTGGAGTTGAAATTGATGCCTGGTCCAAGTCGTGTTTCTGTAACTCTGCATTGATCACCTTCAATGTGATGTATACATATGTGCTTGGAGTTGAAATTGATTCCTGGTCCAAGTCGTGTTTCTGTAACTCTGCATTGATCACCTTCAATGTGATGTACACATATGTGCTTGGAGTTGAAATTGATTCCTGGTCCAAGTCGTATTTCTGTAACTCTGCATTGATCACCTTCAATGTGATGTACACATATGTGCTTGGAGTTGAAATTGATTCCTGGTCCAAGTCGTGTTTCTGTAACTCTGCATTGATCACCTTCAATGTGATGTACACATATGTGCTTGGAGTTGAAATTGATTCCTGGTCCAAGTCGTGTTTCTGTAACTCTGCATTGATCACCTTCAATGTGATGTACACATATGTGCTTGGAGTTGAAATTGATTCCTGGTCCAAGTCGTGTTTCTGTAACTCTGCATTGATCACCTTCAATGTGATGTACACATATGTGCTTGGAGTTGAAATTGATTCCTGGTCCAAGTCGTGTTTCTGTACCTCTGCATTGATCACTTTCAATGTGATGTACACATATGTGCTTGGAGTTGAAATTGATTCCTGGTCCAAGTCGTGTTTCTGTAACTCTGCATTGGATAACCTGTGGGTGTGTGCTACAGATGCATGTGATCAGAATAAAGATGTCAATTGGATATCAATGAATAATCAATCAATAGTCAATCAATATAGTCTGTCTCCTAATTGCTGCATGTATCTTCAAGACCATAATTAGTGTAAAACATAGACCACAGAAATAAATACATGTAATTCATAAGTGTCAGGTGTTTTGTATGGAATTTATTTTCACTGATTTTTGACCCACCCTAAATTCGTCAAAGTGTATTGATCTAATTGATTGGTTTAGTGTCTGACCAAATGATTATGCAAATTTAGGCTGCTCTCAGTGTGACGGGATTGGTCAACCTCAATGTGAACATTTTTAATCAGTTTCATGCATTGGGAAAAATGGTCAATAGAGATGACATTCTCTTCTAACAAAAACAACAAGCAACATAGCATCAAATTCATGCATATGTCACTGTACTGTATTTTCTCTATTAGTAGCACATGTACTAAGTGGTGTTGCTATGGTTAAAACAAATATTTTAATGATTCAGTTTATACCAAATGTTGTTGTTTATAAGCACTTTTACTGGAGATGTGCTTCTAATAGAGTAAATACAGTATACAGAGTGACTGACACTTCCTGTTTATATATCCCATTTTTCATTTACTTTCAGTTGATATCCTCAGTGGATCCAGCAAGGCTTCGACTTTCCAAACATGATGATGAAATCTACAAGGAATTTAGGAAAGATTTTAAAGATTTGAAGATAGATGTAATCAACATCCAAGATTTGAAAACAGATGATTCTAAATCAGTAAGTCAATGTTGTGCTTTCTGTTGTGAATGTCGCTGATGTACTTATTCTTACTTACACTTCATTTGTAGAGCTGTGTGTGATTAGATCTGTATCTCAATAGATCTATCCCAAATAGAAGCACCCTGAAAACTTCCTTGCTCCATCAGTAATTTAACCACATCAAACAATGTCATTCTAATGTCATGATATTGTCTGAACATAAGACATTTTCACATTGCGCTTCTAATTGAGTATATTTAGTAATATCATCAGTAATGTCATATCATATCATATATCTTATCAATCATATCATATCATATATCATATCATATCATATCATATCATATCATATATCATATCATACATCATATCATATCATATATCATATCAATCATATCATACATCATATAATATCATATATCATAGCATAACATATCATAGCATAGCATAGCTTATCATATGATATCATATCATATCATATCATATCATATCATATCTGGATTAATAATTTCATCATTTCGTATCAACTTCACTCAATCACAGAAAATTTGTGAGCACAAAATTCAAACTCAAATTTGATTGGCTTCCGAGATTCAGATATAGCTTTTATAAATTTTTCTTTTTCACAGAAATGGAGACCATTTTGCAATCACTTTGAAGGACAAGTAGATGATTTCAATTTTGGTACTTTATTAAGAATTGATTGCAGTAAAGAATACTCAGAGGAAAACTCACTACTAGGTATCGTACTGCATTCATGTATCAACTTATGAAATAAACTGACAATGTAAATCTTCAGAGAGACAACAAGAAGGACAGACATTTTTCCCCTTGTATACCTATGATGATATGGATAAGTAATAATAAATCCAATTTTACTTCTAACAATGCAGTCACCATGAATAATTATTTGTTGATGACTAAAGTAATAGAAGGAAAATCTCTATTTACTTTATTAGTAGTGCAGACTTTTATCCAATGACAGAGGTGTACGGATTGTATTCAGATTTTAATGATCCATCATACAATGAATGCAACTGTTGATTTGTACATACTTTTCTTTAAGATGCTCTTCTAATAGAGAAAATATACCGTATTTGCTTTATTAGAAGCACATATCCAATACAAACCCAAAATACCGTTTTTTGTATGCTAAATCATTAAAGTATTTTTTATTTCGAACATGGATATTCCAGTCATTTGTGTAAGTAAAAGCTAAAAGAGCAAAAAGTAATTCAATATGTGTTAATTACTGAATGTGGCCACAAATAGGCGCTATTTAATTATAGCTTTATGTTTTGTATTTCAGTTACTCGCATACAGTTCTATGCCATCGAAATTGCTCGCAATAGAGAAGGTTATAATGCATGCATCTGGAATAAAACTTCCCTGAAGGAGAAAAAGACAAACACAAAGGAAGGACAGTCCTAGCGGTTGTATTATTGACATTTGTATTATTTCCAGGGTAAATAATCTGCCTGTGAGGGCAGTATCACCAGTCCAGTTACTTTGTTCTTTTCTTTGATATCTGTTGTGATTTGAATTAAAAATGTGACATTTTTAAGAATTTTGTTGTGAGGAGTTTGGCGGGGGGGGGGGGGGGTTATAAATAATGTTTGGCTATTGAAAGGTGACCATAATACAAAACAATGACAATGTGAATAGTTTCTTCACACACAATTTGAACACTTATTGTGTGACTCAGAATGTTTCATAGATCAAAAGTGAAAAATCAAATTCCCAAAAAAGAAAACAGTTTTAAAAATATGAAACATAACATTTCCACATGATTTGTTATTAGTAATATTGCTAAAAGTCACAATAAAAGTGCCACAATAGATTGATTTATTTTTTCAAATCCTTACATAATGATTAAGATAAATTTGCATATTATTTAAATTAATCATTAAATGTATTTGTGAAAGAGCCTGGGCATTTGAAATTTTCAAAAATAAAAGAGGTTTATTTCATGTGTATGGATATTAACAGACTCTACTGCATCTAC